TTTTTTTGCTGTGACACAGCAGACTCGGGAACGGATGGGCAGTGCATCCCTTAATACCACTTTAATACCATCAATTTTTATAGCGCTTTGGAAACTACTGAATATTCAAAAATGATCCTCCCTAAGGGATGGATCAAAACGAAACAAAAAAGAAATCCAGAAAGAAGGAGGGGAAGAAAGGAAGAAAAAAAGAGACTCCATCACTGTCACTGATAAGAATTTTTAAAACCAGCATTTTCCCTCCTTCAGCCACCTCTTTGCTGCAGAAGGTTTTCCTCCAGGACTGACCAGGTGCAAACTCAAAGCTGCTAAATGCATCTCCTCAAGAGTCAAATTGCACCCCCAGTACAGTGTCTCTTTGTCAGAACTTCTTGTAGTAGTTTCTCAATTAGGGGATGTTTTACAGTAAATTGATGGCTGGGTAGCGATGCTTCTTTCTGCATTGTGTTTTGACCTGGCAGTGAAAGGAGTCCATTCTTGCGCTCCTCTGGGGCACTTGCAGTTTTCCAGCTCTCTGGCTGCCCTTTTACAAAGGAATGATTCCTGTAAAGCCACTGCCCCACTTCTTTTCCCATTTTCCAGGAAACCCCTAAATGATGTTGTCAGGGGAAAAAAAAATTCAGAACATATTTTGTTAGTACAGAACACTGATTGCATTAGTGTTGCAACACTCCTTTCAGGATCCAAGAAGTCAGAAAATTGTCCAAAGCTTTGCTTTTAATCGAGACTTAATAGGCACCCTTGTCCTTTTTATTCGCCCTGTGATGCAGGACTTGGTTTTGTTCTGCTGCCAAGACATTTTATTTGACCTCCTTCACCCTTCCTTCTGCTGTCTATTATATGGGAGTAGCACTTAGAGATCTTTGGTGGGTGGAAAATGCTGTGTGAGGAGGTAGGCGTTATTAATTAGAATGATCTTATTTTATCTTATAGCTTTCACCAGAAGAAAAATGTCTGGATTGGAATGACAGCCCTAAATGGTGGGTAACGGATACTTCCCTGTGGCTTCACAGTTCTGCTGTGTAACAGAGGATGTCTGGCCCTGGGAGCACGAGAGTTGTGGTTCATGTTTCCCTCGGAAGGAGTCTCATTTTTTAAAGTGTTGAAGCATACTCAGCCC